TCTTCTTTTATAATTTTTGGGTGTAAAATATCATTTGAAAATTCAAGAGTTTTTAGAACCATGGTTAGAAAGCGTGTTTAGAAACATGTTAGATGTCAAGCTTCTAAACAATCAAGAAATTTTTTGCTGAATTCAAGCAACAAAGATTCAACTTGTAAAAAGTCAACTTGAAAAATTGTAAGTGTTGAGTCTTAGTAAGATGTGTAGCTTCCTTAAACGCAAATACGCAATTTGCTGAGTTTTAGTGTTACGTGAAGAGAAGTACAATGAATTCAATTACGAGTACAATTGGCAATGACAACTAAAGGCAATCTATTTTTTCTTTTTGCCACAAGGGTACTTCTTCTCTTCCAATGGTTCGGCAGAACTATACTCACTCATGAGAATGCCAAAACGGTTTTAATAGAAAAAGTGTCCATTTTTCTCATGTCGAAGACTCGAAGATGCAACACTTCAAAATACCTGACGAACTCAAAGAGCACATGGCAGTATGTTTCTTGAAACTTCTTTGATTCTCCAGGTACAACCTGTGGAAAATCTGAAGAACTCCGACACAGAGAATTTGGAGAAATTGCACTCCAATACTACCTCGACAAACAAAGGGTAAACAAAGGGTAAAATAAGACTAAAAACTTAACGTTTAAAAAGTGAACATTTTTATGAAGCTCCGAGTCACGAGAAAACTTGTCAGATGTTAGCAGCTTACTCCCCCCGAGGAGGATGGAAGCGTTACATACATCAGGTTCAAAAACAACGAACCTGGAATTGCGTACAAATTCGCAATTACATGACCATGGAGAGTAGAAAGGTTTCCTACAAGAGAACCAGCTCTAAACAACTCAGAAAAAAGAATAAAAAGTTTAACTCGTAATTGTTATTTTTTTTACTTGTATGGCAAGCTGCAAGAATGAAGTCGACTTATCTCAGTCTTTGTCTTGACCATTGGACGCTCTTGCGAGTACGTCTGTTTTGCGGTCTCCAGCTGGTGTCTGACCTTCGTAATTGCGCATGTTCTGAGAGCTCCAACTGTAATGATTGTAGATGAGAGTCTCTCAGACTGCTTGAGGTAGTCTTCACGGTCACGAACCGAATCTGTTGGTACGAGCGAATCGGTCGATTTGAAGGAAGAGACTGAAAGCCTGTCGTCTTCCATAGGGGCTGTTGGCATAATCTTTGCGTAAGCGGTTCAGACTTCTCTCGAACTCTCTTGGTCTCTTTCGATTGAGATTGATGTTGGAATTGCTGGGGGAGCTATTTGTTGGAACATCCAAGGGTGGGAAGTAAGGCATAGGCTGAGGAGGTAGGGTAGTTTCGGGAAGCTTGTGGTAGGTAGTAGACCTTGAGGTGGAAATTGGTAGTAAATTTGGTGGAGGGACTTGCTGGAACTGAGGTTGTGTGGTTGCGAGGTGCAGGGGCTTTCGGTACTTCTGGCTTTGGAAGAGCATCAGGAAGAGGAACGTCAGTCATCCGTTTGTGTCCTGTCGAAGGAAAATATTTTCCTGTCGGAAGGAAAACTTTTTCTGTCGGAAGGAAAAACTTTTTCCTGTCGGAAGGAAGAACTTTTTCTGTTGGAAGGAAAAACTTTTTCTGAGTTCGACAAAAAGTTTCTCATTTTCGAAAATTTGAATGGTTAAGGACGGACAACTGGGAAGAACTTTTTCTGTCGAAGAAAAATTTTTCCCTTTGTCCGGAAAATTTTTTCCAGTTGTCGGAAAATATTTTCCTGTCGGATGAAGGACTCGGAATGCAAGAAGGACTTGAGAGGCAATTTACCTAATTGAAATTAACGACTGCGTAAAAGACTACTTGCGCAAGGTCATGAAGCCCAAGGTCAAGTTCATCTCTATTACTGGAAGGTCTACACTTCAGCTTCGAGACTTCGACTGGAATTCCAATTCAAATACCAGACGGGACAGCCTACGATGGCATAAAGGACGCCAAAAGAGAAGCTCTTGTTAAGTTCCTAAACAAACGTCCTTGGAATAAAAATACCAAACAAGGAGAACCCCCTACCCCATATGAAATTGGCAATTCAGTCTCTCCTTCACTTCTCGGGTCAGCGTTTCACATAACCTGTGAAGGCGACATTCAGCCAGTTCTTTCAGCCAGTTCAGTAAACATCTCATTTTAACTTCACTTTTTTTTATGTTTTACTCACACTCGTACTCAACAGGTTTGTTACAACTATTTCAACTGTGAACCTGTATTGACCGGTCTTCCTGCAAATGCAAGTTCGGTCAATACACAATTTATGGTGGCAAGAGGGACAGTGGGGAATGTTATTCTGACATCTGTTGTTGCGCTCGAGAGAGATTTGAAATTTCAGAGCCACTCCCCAAGAACTCCAACACCAACACTCAAGTTGCCAAAGACTCATGTGAAGAAGAAGCCTTCTGGTAAGTTTTCTTAGCCATATACATGGCACGCTTTTGGAGTTTGAGTAAAAACATTTTTTTCATTTTTTTTGAATGAAGCAAGTTAAATTCGTCCCACACCAATCTCAATGGACCGATGAAGAGTTTCAAGCCATGGTTGAAGGCGTTGAGAACGACATAGACGGCGAACTTGAAGGAGCTCAAACCACAATTGCAACCAAAATTGCACAAGTCAAGAACAGATAGCTCCACTTAAAGCTACCAAAGCTACTCTTGACCTCATGGATAGTTACCGTTTAGATGTCAAGAGTGGAATAAGACAATTAAAATTAAAACTTCTAAACTACGAAGCTATACTCCAAAAGTTAGCAGAAATGAGAAGACTTTACCAGAGCTACTTACATGTAAGGACTTACCTTCAAGCAGGTCCGACCAAAGATGAATTTTCTGACATTGTCCCAATTTTGTCCGAAAGTCAGCTCAGATGTTTTGAACTGCTCCCAAACATATCCAGAATATGAACGTTTGCCTGAACTCTTCCGCAATCTCAAAAAACGTTTTTTGGTTCTCATGTTCGGAAACTTTTATCGGAAGAGACAAACAAACGTTCAGAAGAAGAACAAGAATTATTTTAAACTTGTTGTATGACATAACTGTCATAACAAGCTTTTTGAAGTAAAACCGCCATTCTCAAACCACTTCATTTTTCGATGTCCGAACAAGCACCGAAGCCGAAACACAATGGCAGATGTCCTTTCAATGTTGCCAGACAAGCGCCCAGTTCAAATTCAAATTTTGAATTTGAAAGCTCATCTGACAAACACCGTTAAGACTCTCCAAAGTAGTCTTATGGAAGAGATGAAGGTTAAAGGTGAGTTCCTCATGAACCAAGCTTCCAATGAGAAAGCCTGAAACGATTTGACGGAAACCTTGCGCATTTACGCGAGAGAGAACCGAGACCTTGCCAGACTCATCTACCGTTTCTTCGAAGAGATAGATGCCATCTGGAAGGTACTCGAAAGGACAGAACTCCAACACCGTATTCGTGAGTACCAATTGAAGAAGGAATTGTCGAGGAAGAAGAGGAAGAAAGAACACGAAGAAGAAGAGAAGAAGATGAAGAAGAGAAACACGAAGAAGAGGAAGTTTGGGCAACCCTTGTTGCCGATGACGCTTACGAAATTTCCCAACCCTACCCATACCAATCCGCAACAAGGAGACAGGCAAGGTTCTTCTTACCCCAGTCCTCAACAACTTGGGACACTTGAACCTTAACCTTCGGAATCGCGGTTCAATCTCCATGGGCAAGCTTGTCGCAATTCAATGGGTTCCAAATCAGACAAGAAGACGAGGGTCAGACACATTGACGGTGACAAGCTCAACAACCGTAAGGAGAACCTCGAGTGGTTCTAAGAGTAAAAAAAATTTTATTTAGGGGGAAACCCCAGTAAATTTAAGGTTTTTATTTAGATTAAGTAGCTTAAATTAAGGGTAAATTTGGATAAGTAGTTCCTGACCTCTGAATTGGAACTCTTTCGTCATCCCAGTTGCGTAGGAGGTCGTCCCAGAGGAGTTGGTAGAATTGCCAATCCAAGGACGATTTGTCTCCCAGGCATTGAGGATGTACTGCTCGTAGAGTTTCATGACCTCTGCCTTGCACCAGACACCCTCTCCCTTGGAACGTAAGGCTTCTTCGAAGTGCTCGAATGCGATTGGCTGCTTGGACCATCTGAAATGACACTTTTTGTCCGTTTGGTCAATGTTCGTGTCTCGTGCCATAGTCGACGAAAATACAACAAACAGGTTATATATGAGTTTGAGACCAAGAATTCCCCACATTTTAAATTCAAATTCGAATAAAAATTTTTTTACTTCATGCAATGTTTTATTTCTGTGCCGTCTTCAAGTATGCCCCAATACTTACGCTTGGAGAGGACATGAACTTCGGTGAAAATTTTGTCCAATTTGAATTGACCCATCTTTTTCACCGACCATACCCATTTCAATGAGTTTGTTGTATCCTTCTTCGTTCGTCATGAGTGCGTCAATGTTCTCATAGTAAACCTTCACTTTGGATTTGACCTCGAGAAGAATTTGTTGTAGTTGTCAAGGACTGCCTTTGCGAACTGAGGGTAAGACCAATGTTCGACAATAGGTTTTAATGTGGTTACTAAGCCACTTTGACCTTGAGTGAATTCGTACTTCAAAACAAAAGGAGAAAACCTTTCAACAAAGTTGTCGACCTTCTCATAATGTTTACTCTTCATCTCTTGAGGTTTCTTAATGGAATATCCCCATTGAATTCATAAGCAATTTGAGTGTCATTGCAAGTTTGGGGTTTGAAGCTTTCCTAATATCATCAGTTGTTGTATGACTTTTCCAACTGTATAGTTCCTTCCTGGGAACTCACCGTCTTCGTTTGGAATTCCAGTTGGGAATATTGGACAAACCTCATGTACGCAGCGTTAAGGTCGACATAGTATATCTTTTCATCTGAGTCGAACTTGTCGCAACCAATTGGTCCAGTTTGTGGAAATTCAAGTGAGTCTCTTATCTTCTGAGAAACTTCTCCTGTTATCTCATAAACATCGTCGAAGCAACCTGTTTCATATAAAACCTTCTGACCTAACTCAGATGCTCTCCAATACAATTTGACGTCAATTGGATGTCTCAATGGAAGTTTGTTTATAGCATCTTGAAGTTCTTGCAACCTCATTGGAAGTTCTTCTGGTTCAGGTTGGTATCCGAACAATCCAACTCCTTTTGGAACTGTGTACTTCTTTTGTGCTAGAACTTTGTCTGGAACAACTTTTGGTCTTGCTAACAATGAAAAGTTTGTTTCGTCTTTTGGTACAAAAGTTTCTGTCAGCTTGTCATCTGGAATTGGTTCCAACAAGCCTTTCTCGAAAAGAATGTTTACAGCTCTGACAATGTTGCACTTGCCTTTTCCGAACAATGGGTTTGTAAGACTTTCGTTCAACATGAAGTGGTTGTGGACAATTGCAATCTTCAACCATGGTAAATTGAACTCAACAACATAGTCGTCATGTGAAGAACCTTTAGCTGTAGGTATGTTGACTCGGATATTGACATTTGCCAACGGTGCAATTTTTGCCAATTGACCTCTGAGAATGTACCTTGTCTTCACACATGACTCAAGGTACTTCATCTTCTCTTCTGTAACAAGACCAGAGTTCCTGAGACATGTAAGAATGCAAGGTTCATTGACAATTGTTTCAATTGAATTGTAAATTCCATACCTTGTCAAGTCAATGTCAGACTTATTTATGAACGGAAAGTATCCAGCATGTTGTCTGACTGCTTGAGGGTTAGGTTGGTACCATTCGAACTTGACACTTGCAATTCCTTCAATTGCATTCAAAATGTCTGAGTCGGAGTCAACCATTTGTTCTCTCTTTGTAGTCTTGAAAGCGTCAAGAAGCATTGCAGCTGTTGTGACATTGCCATTTGCATAGTAAATGTGACCATCCAAATCTGTTATGGTCAATCTGAGATTGTGTCCTTTCTTATTTCCGTCTTGAATTGCAGCAAGTACACCCATGAAGCCTTCTTTGTTCTTTCCTTCGTCAAAGTTTACTGTAAAGGTTCGACCAGATGTAATTTGACTTCTAACTTCACGATACTTTTCATATGCATATCTTGTTCTTTCCATGGGAGCATGACCATCCTCTGCACTACCTTTTTTCCTTTCTCAAAGGATGCAATTGTTCGTCATGTTTCCAGTAGAATCTGGCAAAGCCGTCGTGTCCTTCAACTTGAGGTTCACTAACATCGAAAGGCATGTCCATAAGACGTTCTTCTTCTAACCTCTCTAGTCTGTTTGGATAATTGGCACGTGCTGTTTCCAAACCATTTCGTAGCGAAGACCCAGCCAGTTTGTCATAGACTTTTATGGGTCTTCCCTTCCTATATTTAAAATTCTTCGAAACTCTCCAACCATATCTTTGCAACTCTGCTTTTATTCTAGCAGACCTTGTCCATTCTATATGGGGCATTTTTATAAAAATAAAAAAATATTTTTTTCTTTACTTAACATAACCGCCTGCTGCCATAAGTCTTTGACGCCAACCCATACCAGCTAATGAAGGTTGACTTGGTTTAGTTTGGAAACTAAACCTTTGGTTTTGGTTTATCTTCAGTTTTTGGTTTCTCTTCTTCTATCGGTTTTTCGTCACTTTTCGGTTCCTCTGACTTTACTTCACTTGCAGGAACAGTTGTGTCGTCAACATCTTCATAAATTATATGCCATTTGTTTTTGTTTTCCTTTCAACTTTTTGTGTTTGTTGTAAAGTTTAGAATATTTCGACTCTAAGTCAATGAGATGTTCTATAATGAACTGTTGGTCAGTGAAGTAAACTTTTCCATCTGTTGTCTCGAAAGCTCCTTCAGACTTCAATATTTTATTTGTGAGAGTCTGTTTCTTTTTTGAGATACTAGCCGTTCCATTTCTATGAAAAGTGACTTTATAGTTAGGGTTTGTATTTCCAGACCTGGCACTTTCTATTATTGAATTTTTCTCTTCATCGGTAAGTTCTTTGACAGGTTTTGACAATGGTTCTGAACTTTTTGTTTGTGGTGTCAAATCTACCGTTTCAACTTCTTCGGCATTTCATCTCAGTAAAAAATTTTAGTTTGGTTTGTTTTCAACTGGTGTTGTTTTTTAAGTCGGTCTAAAACTTCCTGAGGTATAGGAAGAACTTGACAAACACGTTGTGTAACTGCTGGAAGTCGACAAATCCATCTTGAACCCATTTGTCTCAATGCTGTATTGTTCATTTCATCTCAGTAAAAAACTTTACATTCCCCAAGTTTGAGGCGGTTGCGGTTGGTTGTTGTTTACCCACTGTTGTGCATGGTTATATCCTCTGTTAAAGAATCTTTCACCTTGGTCCATGTAGTGTCCTGCTTGGTTATAGTAGTCATTTGCTTTGTTATAGTAGTTTCCTGCTTGTCTTCCTACATTGTCCATCCATCCTTGAACTTTTCCTCTTGTTTCAGGATTTGGAATAAGATTTGCTGCATCTCGTGCTACATCCCAACCTTTCTGTACAGTTTGTATAATAGGTTGTGCTTTCTCTTTAAGTATACCTAATGTACTCAAAATCTTCCTTCCAATCCAAATGCACCTCTGGCTATTGTTCCCACTGCGGGCAAAAATCTGGATGCAACTCCTGCTAATGCGCCAAATAAACCCATTTCTTATGGGTAAAAAATGACGAATCCAAACAAGGACCCGTATGTTTCTAAAGCAACAAAGAAAGCACTCATGGTAAAAATCTTTAGTTCAACACCCAAATGCTTGGTTTATGGATATCTTGGAAAACATTCCGAGAGTTAGAACAGATGGACCTCATACTGGCTAATATTTGTCGGTCAAAACACAAGATACTGTGAAGCCATACCATTACAGTCCAAAATATTTTAGATGTGAAAACTGCTTTGACAATATTCGTTGACAAATACCATCCAACAAAACTGACATCTGACTGTGAACGTTCTTTCAAATCAGACGATATTAAAAACTATCTGCGTTCAAAAAATGTAAACCAATATTTCATTGTCGACCAAAACCATTCTGCTCTTGGTGTCATTGACAGTTGTATAAAAATCTTAAGAGACTTAAATCAACCACAAGGTGGTGAAGTAAATGAAATGTCATATGACGACAAATATAGACACTTCTCCATGGCAAAGATGAGACAAGTTTTAAATATTTACAATAGCCGTAAACAAAAAGGTTTGGGAAACCACTCCCCGAAGAATGAAAAACAACCCCGACTTAGAGAAAGACTATATATTTAATAGTTTAGTCAAAAGAGACAAACAAGAAAGAATGCCAGGCTTCAAACTTAAGAAAGGTGACAAAGTAAAAATAGAATACCTAAACGCGACCCATATGAAAATACTATTGACTATGACAACAATGGGAACTCGACAGGTACTCACATTCGTGTTTCGTAAAAATAGAAGAAAGTATACAAAGAATATTATGAAGTTTTAGGCAAAATGGCAAAATGTACACACTGCAAGCAGAAATAAAACGACTATTGTCAGACCTCGTTTCAAACTTGTCAAAGTTCAAGGTGGTATACTTTCAAAGACAGTTCCTAACAAATATAAGACACTCCTGACGAATATGCTAAAGAAGTTGAAAATGACGACTAAGCAATTCTATACCATGCGTAAACTGTCATGTAAGGTGGCATGTAGTCTTTACTTTGTCCCGTTGTTTGTGTATACCCTGAAACGCGATGTGTATGGTTTCCTTCTCCCTGTGTGCTACCCCAGAAACAATTTATAGCAAACTGAACGTCGTCTTTAACATCATATCCTTTACCTTTTTTCATTGCTGACCATCCCAAAATCTATGCTTATGCCAACCTGCTTCAGATGTACTTAAATCTATGTAGTGACTGTGCGCAGGTAAATTTGCACCTGAAATCGTTTTACTTCCACCTGTTTCCTTTGAAGAGTTTGCACAATACAAAAACCTGTCGACTATTTGAGTCCAAGTTCCAAAACCAAGTACTACTTCTGGTTTGGTAGAGTTCATTGACGTGTAAATAGAACCTATAGGATATACTGTTTGAAGTATTTCTGTCTTTAACGTTTGAAGCTCTGTTTTGTCAGCTTTGTTGTCATATAAATCTTGAGCAGTGAATTTAACATTGTTTTCATCCTCCATGACATAGACATTTCTACATCTAGTGTATTTCATCGTCGTTATGTCATCCTCCGATGTTAAACCTTGTGGAAAGTTAGGAGGTTTCCAATTTAATACATCCCCACCAGTTCCATCAGGTTCTTCAACCGTTCCTGCAATATTTTCTATACCAACAGTTGCGAAGAAATCGTGTGTATGTCCAACGTCACTTTTCCTGTTTAAGGTTTCTTGTAAGTTTGTAATATTTGTAATGGTATGTGTATGAGTCTTTTTAGAATATTCTTTGTCAGCTCTTGTCACTTCACTTGACATTTTATTGTCAACATATGTTTTATCTGCTTTGTCATCTAACATTGCTGGTAGTTCATCTACGTCATAGATGTTATGTGTATGATGTTTTTGTGGGTATGTTCTATCTGTCCATGCGAGAATATAGTCTCTTGTTGCATCTACATACTCTTTGTCAGCTTTGTTGTCAATATCTGCCTTCAAAAGAAGTTCATCTATAGGTTTCTCGTTTAAAGTTCTTTTTGTTGGATTTATACAAACAGTATGGTTCTTACTGTCTTGAAACAGAAACTCGTCTGTCAATGGGTTTATCGTCAGTTTTAAGTTTCCTTCTTTCAATGACTCAGATATCTTAGAATAGTTTGAAAAGTTTGTTGTGTTCTTATTTAGAGCTTGTACAATGAGTTGTCGGTTGTGTTGTATTTCTCTCATAGACGCTGTTTCTTTCGACATTTTTATTCTAGATAAAATATGCTTTCAATAGAAAAAGAAAATTCTAGAGTTGCTACAACTAAACCATTAGATGAACTTTTTACGAATGTCGGTCAAAAGTTTGAGACAGAGACCGTAAAGCATGAAGGCTATCGTTTTGACTACCCATTAAGATGGCTAAGAGACCCATCTGTCACAAAAGCTATTGGCTTTCGTAGAATGAAATTCATTTCAGAAGCCATACATGGTTTCCCATTTACGGTCGCTTTTGAAATTCGATACTATAACAAAGAGAAACGTACGTATGAGAAATTTGAACAGGGAAAACTTTTACAAGTGAATTTGCTTGTAAACTTAGAAACAACTCTTCAAGCTTTTCAAGAAAAAATAAACGATATCTATCTCGAATATGCAAAACAGTACAACATTGACGAAGGAGAGTACCATCTCGATATTATATATGACAGGAAAAATGCAACTGTTAAAATCAATAGAATAGAAGACCTTGGAGAAGACGTTTATATTTCTACAAAATATAACAACTTGGCATGGTATAGGTTTCTGAGGATGTTAAATCAGCCTGCAGAATATCCAGTACACCCGGACTTTTATGAAGTCGAAAACCCTAATGGAACATATGAAAATGTTTTCGACTCAGATGCTATTATAGTTCATGCTTCATTTTCTGGCGCCCAAAACTCTTTTTTATGCTTGGCAAATGACTTTTACGAAAAACCTACAAAGCTATATGAACCACCGAGTGGAAGTATTTCAGACTTTCAAGTATGGTTTACAACAGATGGAAGAAAGAGAATAGTTCCATTATACCACGCGTTTTACTTAGAACTTAGTTTCATATACAACTACTATCGAACGGTAAAAATATAATTTTTTAATACGGTTGAGGTGTTGGATTTGGTTGCCAACTAGACTGTGGTGCAGGTTCAGGCTGTTGTATAACAGGAGCTTGTTCTTCTGGTTCAGGGTCTTTAGGTATAATACCAACGAACTGACCTACTCTTTTACCAATATTTTTGACTCCGTTCCAAATTCCTCTTCCTACGGTTTTTATTCCATTCCATATACCTCTTCCAACATTTCGAAAGAAGTTTCCAATACTACTGAAGAAACCCATTTTACTATATGTAAAAATCTAA